TAGACCAATCCTCTCCTCAGACAGGCCCATCAAAGACCAAATGTGGGGGCGATTCGAGGATCGCTCTCAACCACCAAAACACCGAACTCACCACGCTAGAAACACTCACCAAAGCTCAAGCCGGCCGAAAGAAATCATGAGATAACATATGGTGCAAATTGGAATGGAGGTGGCAAAACAGAAATGGGCATGATGATTTTTAGCCCGGCGCGCTCGTTGGTGTGCAGAGCACGCCCATCTTCAACGTCATGCTGAAAGGAGGTTTGAAGTCTAATGCAGGAAATGCTGTGCACAGCATACCAAGGGCACCGAGTTTGAAAAATAGTGTTCCCAAAAACGTTGCGACATCAAGAAATATAACATTCAAAAGTTGCATTTTTTCGCAGCAGGTTCGTATGTTTTTATGCTGCCAAGAACACGGCTAAATAGCGAGATACAAGATTAGTCAATAATGCACCACGATCGTTGCTTTTATAGATTTATGTTGTATTCAAAATATAAAACGCTTGCCACCAAAAAATTGTACAGCTAAACTGTAATTGTTGTGTACTCCGATGTCTAGCTCCAAAGAAAATCCCCCACAACCGGGATCATCAAGCATCATTTATGCATGCTTGCAATCAACTTCTTTCCGTGAGATTGTCGGAAATTAATTCTTCTCTCGGCGCACCACAAGCTGAATTTTGTGTTTTTGGAATGAGACTTGCGGTCTCCTTGGTCGGCGCACCACAGGCCAGCATTTCCAGGTTCGCCCTCTGGTCTGCACCCAGTGCTTTCGTTTTCTGCAGTTCCAAGTCAGCCAGTCCGGACGTGCGTTTGGCGCAGCAATTCCGCACCTTGCTTTGCTTTTGTTTGCACTCATCCATCAGCAGTCAATCTTGCATACGCGGCATTCCGCCATCATCGTGCCGTTTCAACGTCAACATCCGTGCATATCCGCGAGCAGATATCGTAGTGCTGTGCACTAAAAAATTCAGACAAACAGGCCTTTCATCGAAAATATTTTTACTT